AAGTGCAGTCACTTCGGCTTTATCCTCCTGCTCCACTCACCCTACCTCACCAAAAAAGCACTTTCAGAGAAGAGGCTGTGTTTAATTTTGTGCAGATATGAAGCCATGGCTGCGGGAAGTTGGCTTTGGGGCTGGGTCACTCTGGTAACACTCCCCACATGACTTGATCAATGGGTGGGCCATGAAAACTTATCCTGTGTTTTTTTACACCCCACCCCCAAACCACCCAACCTGCCCAAGTGTTAGTTTTTCAAAGCCAGCAAAGTTTCAAAGGCCTGAACCCAACACAGCGGCCTTTCTTCATGCTTTGATTTTCTGCCCATTAAGTGTTTGTCACTGAGTTCAGATTTCGCCTCCTCTGCAGCCTACACATCCCACGAAACCCCTAGAGGTATAGGAAGTTAATTGATCCTTGATTAAAAGGAGGAGAGAGGCTTGAGCCTGGGTCTAGACACTAGATTATTCTCTTTCTTCTGGCTCTGATTTGCAGACAGCTCAATACACATTTTGTTATCAATAAATCTAAGTTCTGGGATATTGACTTCAGATCTTTGATTGAATTAGACACGTGTGTATCTAATTAGTGTGTGTGGCACATGCATTGGATTTTCAGTGAACATTAGCTAGAAAGGCTGCCTTGACTGTTCAAAAGCTTTTTCTCTCCTCCCTTCCTTCCTTCTTTCCTTCCTTCCTTCCTTCTTTCCTTCCTTACTTCCTTCCTTCCTTCCCCCCTCTCCTCAACCCCCCTCAATCTCTCTCTCTTTTTCCCTGCATAAGAGTTACTGGAGGAACTTCAGCTCATTTATTTATACTCATGGGTGCTTCTGTTTTAAGTGACTAACTCCAGAAAGCACCCAAGATTTAGTCAGGTCATTTGAACTCCATCCAGCTTCACCATTAACTGACAGGGTAACTCAGCTAAACCACTTTAATCTCTTTGAACCATAGGGTGGCTTCACATGCTAGTTCTCTGTGATTGGCCTTTGGGCCCCTTGGAGATTGGGACTTAGCCTCTTTCATCCCTACAGCCCAGTCAGTAAGTAACTGCGTTGTTAGACCACAACAGTGCGTGTGGGAATCTTCAAGTGTGGGCTCATAGTGCTGGCTCAGTAAATGCTAACTATCATTATTAGCCTTTCTTCTGTTCGTTGTTTAGCTATATTTTCATGACTACAGCAAAGTTTGAAATTGTATTCCCTAATAGTTGTCCTTTTGTAATCGCCAGGACTGGAGTCCTTAATTTGCACTGCATTTTCATGGGTGTGCATGGTTCATGGGGCCCAGAAATTTCTCCTACTTATGCAAGGGTCAACTCAAGTCTCTATTCCTTGCGAGATACCTCTAGTGTCCCAGTAGAGTAGTGCTGTTCTCTCGATGCCTACGCATCAGTCATTGTACTGGTAATATTTTGACACTCTTGGTTGGTGCCTTGTTTTTGTTTTTTGTTTCCTTTTGGTTTTCGAGACAGGGTGAATGTATAGCTCTGGCTGTCCTGGAACTTGCTCTGGGGACAAAACTGGCCTCTGCCTCCTGAATGCTGGGATTAAAGGTATGTGTCACCACTGCCAGTCCCTTGGTTTGTGACTTCTTAACAACCACATGAATTTCTCCAGGGCAAAAGCTATATCAAACATCTTACTCTGGTGTTGTGAAGGTTTTTTTTGTTTTGTTTTGTTTTTTTTTTTAAGCTAAATGAAGACAATAAAATATAATAAAAATGGTGGCAGTGATAAGAACAGACACCCTGCTTTGGGAAAGACACCTCCTTCTCTTCCTCTCACTGCTCTCCTGAAGCAAAGTGTGGTCTTCTGTCTCGAGAACTAGCTGTCCAGTTGGGGGAGTGTTCATTCACTTTCCATCAACTCTTTCTGGAGCAAAGTCAAGATTTGACTGGCATCACCCTCAGTAAATACCACAAGTTTATAAAGGAGATAGAAAAGGCCATTGGGTTTTCTAAATGATATCTTCACGCCTTTCAAGAAAATAAACAGAAACTATTTAGATCCAACTTCTTGTCTGTTTGTAGTCATCACCCGTATAATCAGAAGCGGAAACCCTCCCTGAGCCACAGGGAAAGAAAGCATCTGTGTTGTTCCCAGCAAAGAGAGGGCAAAGGAGCAAACCAGATGGTTTTCCTTTCTGAGCCATCTCCTTCGACCTGTTGACATTGATCAAGTGTCTTTAGTGTGTCTTACACTCTGTGCTATTACTGCCTGTGTGTTGCTTTGGATTTCTTTCAAGCAAATCTTCCTGGAAAGACTCTGGGGTGGGTGTGTGTGTGTGTGTGTGTGTGTGTGTGTGTGTGTGTGTGTGTGTGTGTGTGTGTGTGTCCTAACTGGACTGGAAACTCCCTGAGGGCAGTGTCTGGGTGGGTTTGTATTTCTGCACTGAACAAACATAGTTAAAATGTCTGTACCCACTAGTTGAGTGAATGGCTGAATACATCAGCTTATCCTATCGTTCCAGGAAAACTGAACTTAGGTTTTGTTCTTCTCATTTAGCAAATGGGAAAGGGAATTCTTGAAGGTGTGCGGTGACCTGCTCAAGTAGAAAAGGCACCCTGAGATCCTTAGCCTCGCTCTGTCTAACTCCAGAGCTCTTTTACGCATGTCTTATTGATTGTTCTCAGAAACATGGTTTACAGACCTGTCATGTGAAAACTATTGAATAAATGCTGGAGGTCTAAATGTGAACTACAAAGATTAGGCATCTGAAAACTATTGGATATAGCTGCTGGAGATAAGCGTGAACCGCAAATATCAGGCACCCAGAGTCTGTTCCTAACCTGAGGGGTTTCTTTCTTAGCAACACTTTGGCTCCCAAGCACCTCAGAGGCCGCAATGTGTGGAGCTCTGAAAGTATGTTGTAATAGCAGTTTCTGGCTTCTCAGCCCCTCTTCATAGCCGGTTTGATACCATTTCAAAATCTCTAGGCCATGGAGTAAAGATGGGCTGAGTCCGTGTGAGATCAATCCCAGGCCCCCAACCCCAGAACCTCAGCAACTTCTGTCACTACTATACGGACACACTTATCCACTACCTCTCCACCCCCTCTACCACAGGGCAGAGGGTTTCAAAAGTTAATGGTTATTGCCTTTCGGGGGCCCTCTGTGTTTACTTTGAGAAGGTCAGGCCCGATACTGTGGTGTGTTGCTGAGCTTCTTTTCAAAGCACCAGTATGAATTTGATAAAGTAAATTGTTGTTCTAGCAGGAAGCAGTTAGGGGTCACAAAATAAATAGCCAGAGAATTCAAATAAATCCAAAGAATAAAACCAAATAAATCCATGTGTGTATGCGCTGTGATACATAAATACACTTTTTGGAAAGCTAGGGTTTTTATCGCTGCTGGTCTGGACCAAGGTAATTGAAAAATTGTGGAGTTTGTGGTACTTTTCTCCAAAGGCGGTCTGGGGCTTTGAGCAACAATGTGACATGAATATAATTTTTTTAAAGAATGAAAAGGGAATTTGATCTTTTAAACAACTGCTTATCTTGGGATTCTCCCCCCACTAATGAATTTCATATTTGGATGAAAGCAATTTGCAAAGTTAAATTGGGGACTTAGGCACTGAGATGGGTGGACTTCAGGCCCTAAATGAACTAGAGATTCTGAGTCTCTTGTTTTTCCCCTTAAAGAAGAGAGGGAGTAGTGCTGAAATGATGCCTTAAAGTGGCCTCTGGATTCCTATAATGTTTAGAACATAATGACAGTTGTTAGCCTTGGGGACAATGTGAACCAGACCCTGTACCTGTTTCCTTGGTATCCAGAGGAGGACTGGCAGAGCTGGAGACTGAAGGACAGAGGTTCTGGTCCTGCGCTTTCCTTGGATCGGGGCTCAAGACTTAGTTACATATGCAATGGAGAGCTGTTAATGGCCCTTTGGCAAGGCACTACCATGCTTAAGAGCCTTCCAACCAGCCAGGGGTAATGGCCCTCATCATTAATCCCAGCACTTGGGACACAGAGGCAGGTGGATCTCTATGAGTTCCAGGCCAGCCTAGTCTATATAATGAGTTCCAGGAAAGCCAGAGCTACATAATGAGACCCTGACTCAAAACAACACCACCAACAAAGAAGCAAACTGGTGGAAGTGTATGGGCCGCACTGTGGGCCAGGCACCCTAGTAGGCAGTGACTGTAATATTCATGGGAGATCTATGTAGGGCATTTGCTTTATACTTCAGGGCTTTGAGAAACTTCTGGCCAAGTGGTAAAATCTATTAGTTGTGACTTTTGAGAGACTGGAACTAGGTGGCCACTTAAAGTCACCGCTTTAAGAATGACCTGGTACTTCTGCGCCCTTGAGCTCCCATCTGGGATATCAGATGGAAGGGTTGAGCTCAACTCTAGTCTATGCCTCTGACCAGTGAGGGAAAAGACTTGAAAAGTGGCATCTACTGAGCCAGACCCTTTGCCAGAGGCTTTATGTTCAGGAAACGATGGCTCATCACACACATTTCCTGGGAGGTAACAGAGGTGAGGACAAGAGCCAAGTGGCTAGGAAATGGTGAATTTAGGATTCAGCTCCAAGTTGTCTGATTCTGGTGCCTGTACAACTGTGTGGAACAGGCATGGTGCTCAGATGAGCATTTCAGAGCAGAAATGGTTAGAGCCCAGAAGACCTTACTTGAACACCTAACTGAACATCACTAGCCTTGGGCCTTGTTACTCTTAAAAATCCGACTTTAACTTTTAGCACAGTGTGAAAGACTCCTTTCCCAACTCTTTTAGTACCTCCCTTTGAGCACTCATGGAACAACAACAAAAAAAAAAAGGTGTGGGGGGGGGCTGCCACTTTTCTTGGGGTAATAAAGGAGGAGAAAAGGATATATGTCTTGAAAGCTCCACAAAAGCTGCAGAACATGACAAATGTAGGAATTGCATGAGCATTTCTGTCTGATGCTTGGGGGTAGTCTCTGCTGTAGGATGTTCCCCTTTGGCTCCTTGGCACTGATGTTTTCTATTTTTTCTTCCCTTCCCCCCACGTGTGTTTCCCCCAGCGGCTTTGCCCTTCCTCATCATCGAGACAAGCACCATTAAGCCTTATCGTCGAGGGTTTTACTGTAATGATGAGAGCATCAAGTATCCCCTGAAAGTCAGCGAGACTATAAACGATGCTGTGCTCTGTGCAGTGGGGATCGTCATCGCCATCCTGGCGGTAAGTGTTCTGCCTCTGCCACACTGATCTGACTGCCTCCTGTGTTATACAGCAGCATATCTGAACTGGTGTACAACCAGCCAAAAGAGACTTCCACCAAAGAGAACTTCATGCAGTATGATTTTTATCTTTTGCAGCAAATACTATTTCTATAAACCAACATTTACTAGGAGATAAGCATTTAGAAACACCTTCTAAAGTATTTAATGTACACTATCCTCATGGTTATCTAATGGAGTTTAAATATTGGTTTTCTCTTCAAATATCCATGATAGTTAATATGTTGTAGAGTTGAGATTGGAACTGAGACGAAGGTCTCATCTCTGAGCCACTGTGCACGAGGCTGAGTCCCATCCTTTTCAGCTAGCCAAGGTGTTTTCTGTGCTCTTGCCTCATCTTTGCTGAGATGCAGTGGTAATGACCATGGCCTTGGAAATTTCTAGCATACTGTTTAGTTTTCCTGCTCCATGGTTGTGATGATAAGATAACTAGGACCTGGAATTCAGTGCACTTGATCTGGACCCCGCCCATTCATTGCTAGCAAGCTTGAATCTTTAAAAGTGAGGGTCGCAATAATGTATAAAAGATCATGAGTGTCTTGGAGTTCTTACCGTGGTGGTAAACACCATGGCCAAAAGCCAGGTAGCACTCTAACACTTCCCAGTCTAACACTAAGGGAAATCAGGGTAAGAACCTGGAGGCTGACAGTGATGCAGGGGCCATGGAGGAAAGCTGCTTACTGACTTGTTCTCCATGGCTTGCTCAGCTTGCTTTCTTACAGCATCCAGGACCACCAGCCCAGGGGTGGTACTGCCCACAGTGAACCAAGCCCTCACACATGTAACATCAATCAAGAAAGGGCCACAGACCAATCTGGTGGAACCATTTTCTCAGTAGAGGTTTCTTTTTCCCAACTGTCTCTAGCGGGTGTCAAGTTAATATAAAACCAGCAGCACAGTGAATATTGAAATACTTTGCAAATTCTTAATTGCTGAACAGATTGCTGGGGTGTCCGTGTAAAGTCCAGCCTGATTCGTGCTTCCCTTAAAGGATATAGCACTCATGAACAATGCTGCAGAAATGTGCTACACATGGACTGTGACACGTCCAGGATTCTTAGGAGCAGTGCTAGCCTGTGAGAATTTGGGTGTGGTCCACCTGGGCCCTACCCTCTTTGAGTGTGTCCCTTTGAGACAGGAGATGTCGAGGGTCATTCTTTGAAAGCCACTGTTATGATCTGTGAGGTTTATAATTTTACAGTTCCTTCTCTAGCATTTTCTAAGCTTGTACTCTGCCCTTGAACTCCTGCCATGTGGGTGAAAAGCAGAGGCAACACATCCACTAGGACCATAAATGCTGTAAATCCTTGAATTGCTCTTCTATGGAACTTAGCTTAGAGGTAGAACTTTGGCCTGCTACCCCCATTATGCAGATGGAAAATGGATAGCCCAGAGGGGTAAGATAAATGAGTTACTCAGAGCCTATAGCTAGTAAAGCCGGGGATTTAAGCCTTATGCCTGGCTGATTTCAAAACCCCCTTCCCATCCATCAAACATGAATTTCAGGGTGTCTAACCAAATGAACAGACCACTTCTGGGATAGATAGTTAGCTTAACTGGCCTGGTCTATAACTGGCTTGGTCTGAGCTGTGACAGGTAAGCTGCTGATAACACGAGTTTTTCTTGTGACTTGCCTACTCTGGGGGTTGGGCAATGGCAAGGAGAGCTTGTAGAATTCTTTCCAATCTTTAAAAGAAAAACAACACCTTTGGCAGCCATAGTTGCTTGGGAAGGTGCACCGAGGATGGCTGTTCAAAAGCTGAAAAAAAATGAAAGGTCTAATTTACTATTGCTCCAAATTGATGGTTGTGGGATTGAGTTCTCCAGGAAGAATGGCTTTTCCTGAAAAGGGCATTTGTTGTGGAAGACAGATAATTGTAGAGTATGTCTTGCTGAGGTTTGAACAGGTGTTCTTGACAGACAGAGGATTGGCTAATTGAATGCTTTAAGAGAACACATTATAATCTCGGAGTCTTGTGATAAGAACCGGTCCAGGACGGTACATCACGTGCTGTTCAGGCACTCTACCAGGTGTTATTCCCGGCATGCCCGGGGGCTGCTCTCTGGTGCACAGTAGAAAGTGAATTAGACACCTTCCCTAATGTGAATCAAGTGAAAGATTGGTATCCATCACCCTCAGTTTCCTCGTCTATAAAATCAAAACGATGTTTACAGTTGTTCGAGAGGATTAAACACCCTGTACAGTGCGCTGTGTGAAGTGTGCAGCCTTATACAAGGGAACGGCCCTTGGTCTCTCCCAGGACCCAGGATGGGTGCAGGAAATGTTAAAGCAGCTCCTCCAGAGGATGTTCTCTCCTTCCTGTCTTTCTTTTCCCAAGCAGAAGTCCTGGTCAGCCGTTCTTCTCCCCCAGTATGCCTCCTCCACAGGTCCCAATGTTCCTAATTTCTTTTCATACCCGTTCTTAGGTGCTTCATGGTCCTGTCCCTTTACCAGTATCACCTTGATGTTTTCACTGAGATGTTTGCTGGAGAACCAGCTTTCCTTGACACACTTCTGTGCTGGACCCTTAATTACAGGATAAACAATGATGTCATTCAATGAAAATAGGTCTCAATCAAGCCATTTGTATAGTTCAGAGAAACACCAGGAAGTCCACAGCAGGGTCAGTGAAATGGTTCTGCAGGTAGAGGACTTGCTGTGCAATATGAATTCAATTTCTGGAACCTACCTAAAGGTGGAAGGAGAGAATGAAGCCCCAAAAGTTTTCCTCTGGTCTGCCCTCCTCATGGTCAATGTAGCATATGTGCCAGCCCCCTATGCCAATAGTAAAATTGTTTTTAAAATATCTAGAAACAACAGCTAATCTGGTCAAGAGCTCCTGTGTGCCAGGGAAACATGGAGACTGTGTTGATAAAGTTCACCCTTAAAGACACCAAGAGCTAGGAAAAGGTTCGTAACTGAGCTCCTCTGCCATGGCACATGTTGCAGGTGAAATGAGAGTTAATTGAGATTGATGAGCCTCAGTAGATTCATACGTTAAGTGGAAAGAGTAAGTAGACATGTTTGCTAAAGTTCCTGAATGAGATCAATGCACAGAGAGAGAGAGGGGGAAAAAAGAGTAACTCAATGCCAGGCACAGTGACATTTACTTAATAAATGTTAGCTGCCTTCATTGCAAATGAAAACACAGTGTCAAAAAATAGAGTTGTAATTTAGCCAAGACAATATATGTCTACTTAAAATGGAGTTGGGACAAGCGTCACCACTTTTGACCATGGGTCTGCCATTTTTTTCATGTCATTAACTAGTTAGGTCCGAGGCCTCTTGCCTTTCATTCCTCTTTGCAATAGGACTTGTACCTCCTGCTCCAGCTGCCAATGCATTTCAGCTAGAGGCACAATTGACATGTGCGCTCCTATCACTGGTAGAGGTCTACTAGTCTGCTTGCTTGCCATAATGCCAAGAGTGCACCTGGAGAAAAGTTCAGTGAAGACCTCAGAGGCAGATGAATAACTTGCTTTGGTATGCTCGGTTCTGGAAAAGCAATACAAGCTACAGAGAACAGCAGCAGGACACATTTCCCACTCCCAGGTTGACTGCCTCAAGATCCTGGCTGCCTTCACCCAGAATCAACTTCTGACCAGAGAGCCTGAGGGACAGTCAGGCAAGGGAGCAGGTTGCAGAACTGGAAATCTAATCTGCCTGCTACCGACTGCCTGCCCTGGACCTTCAGCTCCATGTCAGGTTTATTTCAAACAGCAAGAGGAGCCTTGACTGATTCAAATGCCCTTCATCCAGTTTGCCCAGTCACCACAACAAAGGACTGGAATGGTGCTGGAGGAGATCAGGGTGGCTTCAAGATGGAAACCATCAGACACCATAGAGAAAGCAGACACCTTTCTGAGGCAGAACCTGTGGAAAAAATGTCGTCATTTTGACCTCTTTTTCAGATGTGTCTCAGATTCTGGAATTATAGCATAATAAGAACTCTGTCCAGGTCCATGCAGCAGCAGTCCCTACCCTGCCTTGAAAAGGCTTTAATGACTCTAGCAGCAGCCAGGGTAGAAGCAGCCGGTAGTAAAATCCATGTCCTATGCAGCCTTCCTTCAGTGGCGCCTTGTGTTGTGTTGCCCATCAAGAGTATTATGGTCAAAGGCCCCCAAATGGTCATTGTTCTGTTTAATAAGCATGGGCTCCATACTTGCCATGATCAGACCCCAAGGTGGCCACACATAGATTCTTTTATATGTAGGAACTGATGCATGGGTATATCATAGGTCAGTCAGTCTCCATCCCTACTGACCATAACATGCTACTTCCCCTCCCCTAGAAGATCCAGCTGTGCAAAACATTCCTAACTTAAAAAAAAAAAAAAAAAAAAAACCCTCAGACTTTGGCACCATCTGACTTAGGTTTGTTGTGCCCCGACTTCTGTCCTTTCTTGTGTTCACTTGTGATACTAGTGAGCAAGCCACTGAAGCTCTCTGAGCTACACTTCTCCTTTTCTATAAAAGTGGACTGATCAGCTGCTAATTCCCTGGGTTTATTTTGGCCTTCAAATCAAGCATTCTTATGTGTGCGATCAGCGAGATCCATGCTCGCTTTTTTTTTTGTAGCGATGCATAGTTTGTGGACTAGCTTTCCTGCACACACTGCCTTTATTGGCTCCTGGTAGTCATCCTAGGAGAATGAATGTTAAGAGCTGAGCCAACGGGAGCTCAAGGATAATCAGTGGCTTTCCTACAACTAGCAAAGTCAGGGCAGCAGTCTTGATCCTCCAGCCAAGGCTTAAAAGTCATGGCACCTCCACTGTCCTCTACAGCCTGCATCCCTTCCACAGCTATTTCGCAGGCTTCTGATGTACCAGATGTGGGACACATGGCGGCGAAATGCACATTCATGGTACAGCCAACAAGTGGTGTATCTCCAACAAAACAATAGTGCCTTTACTACTCATTGCCTGTCATGCGATTGGTCTA